CCAGGTCACTCAGAATTGACTCTAGTCCACTGTCAAGGGACCCAATGCCTTATTCTGAGATATTATACTGTGGTGATTTGATAATAGCTGATGTCTGTTAAGACGAAATCAATCACTTCAATGAAGACTTGTTTATATTTAACAACTGACAACAGCGTATGTTATTCATTCAGTAAACTGCCTTCTTAAGTGATAAGTATTTAGAGCAGGAGATATAAGTAGAATCTATCTGGGTTTTTTTGCTTCCGATGAACAAATTTTATTAGAAACAGTTATTACAGACACTCTGATAAAAACTACAAGTAACCTCTAATGCATTTACTTTTTAATACTTGTTTCAGAATCACAAACAATTTTCTTCCTATATATTATTTTTAAGTGTTATTACTGTAATTAATTATATAAAGTAAAGTGTTTCATTATGAATTTCCATACTTGCATATAATGTGCATAATTGCTCATAGTCACATCTTTACTATACACTGATGACGAACTCTGAATTGTGTTTAGTAGAGGAAAGTATGTTTAAACCAAGTATGTAAGCTACAGTAGATAGATAATATCATTTTATCAATTGAAGTAATGGTTAAAAGAAATCTAACTGGTTTTTCTTCTTGCCCAATGTAACAAATATTTAAACCCACTTTATTGAAAGTAAAGATCTAATGTTGTTTTTTTTTACTCATGAATCTTTTATGTTTCCTAGTAATCAAATGGTTTTTCAGGGATTTGACATAATGAATTACAGAGGAAGAGAAAGTATATTCAACCAAATGTGTAACAGGCTTATGCATCAGGACAACAGCATTAACGTAAGACTTTCTTTGTAGAGTTAGAAAGAACAGCATCCTTCAATAGAAGTAGGAGAAAGCAGAAAGCAGAAGTTGCAGATGTGAGACTCAGAAGAAACTAAGGCATGAGAATGAAGAACAATGTTCCAGGGGAGCATTAGAGCTAAAGAGCCAAAAGATGCAAATAAGGGATCTGAAAAAGCATGATAGAAGGCCTGAGTAGAGGGCCACCATAGACAGATTTGTGGTATGAATTCAACTGGATGCCAGAAGCATGGCAATGACAGGAGAAACTGACCTGACTTTTTGGTTTAAGATATTGTTGCAGCTACATGTTGAAACACAGTATCAATGCAGCCATCTCTATTCAAGCAGGAAACAATGACTTCCTAATTTCTCACTTTGTATGTGTGCATAAAACAAATGATGCTAACAATTACCTATCAATATACATAGTCCTTGCCTGGAGTCAGATAATTTTGCAGCATTCTCATCTTTTCATAGGATGTGGAAATTCAATTAATGAGTCTATGTTACTGATTATAATAAAAATGCTATTTATATGCAACTGATATCCAGACATTAGAATAAACCAAATTACAAATTAATGTATGCAAGTTTCTCAATTTGAAGTACCTATGGTAAAGATGAATGTATGTTTTAGGATGTTATTATTAAATTATTTTCTAAAACATCTAATATTTTTATAGTAAAATAATCAAGAGACAATTATGAGAAGTCTCAAAAAAGATGATAACTAGGTAATCTCGATGATAAAAAATGTTTATGAAAACTACATTTTATATGGTAATTTAAAGGAAGTAATATTAAATACAAATGATGGATATTGCAAAAGAAGAAGCCCAAATTTTGATCATTATCTATCATATAAAACAACCAAGGTCATTTAGCTTTTGACCACTGGGAGCCAAGGAAGAAAAATCTATGGTTTACTTAGCTATTTCAAGCTTTTATCATAGAACTACATAACATTAGGAGATCCTTGGGGATGGCTCAGTTCATACATTCTGGCATCTTGTGCCTACTTGAGCATAAAATCCTCTCTCTGAGGATTTAAAATTACATTTGAAGGGTATTAATACAATCCATCATGTGCACGTTGGAATTTTTACTATAATAATATAATAATGTGCTGAATCAGCTCTGCTTCTAACTTCTCCCAAGGAGCTTTATTCTGTTGCACAAGTTCTAATTTTGTTGCCTAAGATGACCTGGAATAGGGTTAAATGTCTTTTGACAGCAGATTCTGCTTTATGAACTAAAATGGGAAATGCTAGGGAGCAAGTCATTTGTTTATTTATGAGTTTTTGTCATTATCTCAGAAATATACCAGCCAAGAAACCATTTATTCTTGGCGACAATAAAATGATTGCTAGCACCTACATAAGAAGTTGTTTAAAAAATTTTAACATAGGTGTAAGCCTTATTTCAATAAATTGTAGCATCCATTTCTTATAAAACAAATGTTTTCCTTTTAAAAATATAAGCTAGTCACAGTTAATTACAACTCATCTTGCTTATTTTAAATCTAATTTAATTCTGTATTGTCTAGATATAGGCAAAAATGTTTTTATATAAAATGTATTCAATATTATAAGCATAATAACTTAAGTGTGAATTTAATATACATATTAAAAATTAGTTAATTAAGAAATTGTAAACATGGTCACAGCAGGGTATATCCCCTAACTATAAATGCTCTATTAAACTATTAAACTCTGAGACAATGCAATGTAATTATTCATATAATAATGTCATTGTTAGTCAGTTTTTTCTTCCTGTCACAAAACATCTAAAATAAATAACTTGGTAGAGGAAAGAATTATTATTTTGGCTCCTGATTCAAAATTTTCTGTCTAGTGTTGCTTGATGTCATGTGGTAAAGTAGTAACATGACAGAGAGACAAGCTGGGGGAAAGCTTTCCACCTCGTGGGGATGATAAGGGAGGGGCTGTACAAGACACATCTTTCTGGAGCAGCCCCCAGTGACCCACTCTTTTCATCCAGATTTTATCCCTTTGTCTCCCTTCTCAGCCTCCAATTTCACTAAATATGAGTCATTCATATATTAGGTCAAAATTTGAGTGATCATGTCACTTCCTTAAATGCATGACTCTGAACATTGCACAGGAAACTAAGCCTTGGCACAGAAGTCACTGTGGGGCATTTTAGATCCAGTCTGTAACATTTACTAGTATATATTAATAAGTGTTTCACCAAAGTAAATTATAACCTCAAATTCTGACAAATTTATAGCCTTCACTATTTGTTCATTGTAATTATAATGATCATATCTAAAAAGTAATATTGCTCTTAATCTTTAACCAATCCATTTATCAATATGGTAACAAGATCAATTTCCTTTTAGTTTAATCAAAACATGATGTTTTGCTTCCATATGAAAAAAATGAAAGAGAAGTACTGAACATGCTCTTGGGGGAAAAATCCACTACAGGATTGTTTTATATTGCAGACAAAGGGATAAAGAATTGGGGGATGGAGAGAAAGAGAGGGTAAGAAAGACAGGGGAGGGAGAGTGGGAGAGAGGAAGGGGCAGAACACAGAGAAGCGCATCTGTAGCTGTTGACAAAGATGCATTAACTTTAAGTACATATCTGGTTTTTATTAAAATACATAAAATATGGAATTTAGGAAAGAGAAAATGGTGAATGATAGAACAGTGGGTGAATAAAAAGCAGAAGCTAGATAAAATAGGAAAAAATAGAGAAGTTATGAAAGAGTGTGGCATGTAGGATATAATAGCTGGATAATGGATTGTGTTATTAGAAATGAAAAACGGGAATCCACACTGTAGAAATTAAAGTAATATGCAATAAAACGTTTGTGTGTAGAAATATGAAAATATCCATTGTATTTAATGAGAAAATATAGAAAATCTTGAAGTAGTATGTGAAAACAAGAAAAGTAGAACAATAAATGTTCACATAATTTTATAGATGAACAAAAATACATTATTTTCACTGATGTGCAGAAATGAATAAACCTTAAGACAAAAGAAGTTTCATCTATTAGCAAGTAAAATGTATTCTTGTAATATGGTCTTTGTCCAACATAATAATGCAATATATCATTTCAATGCAATTGATTTTATTTATTTCTATTCAAATATTGTAACATCATCAAAGGACAAAAATTTTAAACTCTGAGTTTAAAGCCTGCCTCTGCTATTTTCTTGCTACATTACACAGGGAAAATCACTTAACTCCTATAATTCTTCTCATCTGTACTGTGAGATAATTGCAGTAAGTTCATTATAGGGCCCACAAGAAGACTAATTCCTTATATGCACAAATTCCTAACATATGTTATATTGTATCAATACTGTTATCATCATTAACTTTCATTTTTGTGTACAACACACAAATTTAAAAAGATGTATTAAATGATGAAATGAAAAAGCTATCTATTTTATGTTCAATATTTCTTTCAGAAGGAAAAATAAGACTTAGATAAAAATAAATGTGATTTTATTTTAAAGAAAAAAAGATACTAAATGATAATACAAGTCAAAATGAAGATCAAATTAGTGTGTGGGCCATTTAGTACATGAGTGAATGCCCTGCAGGCTCTCTACTGCTCTTATAATAAATAGCAAATGACAACAAAGTAGGCTTCAAATAGGTTAGATGCATTATTTTACGGTTCTGGAAAACAAAATTCAAAATGAATATTAAAACATTGTGGTGCTAAAATCAAGATAGTAAGATCCTTCTGGGGATTCTGCAAAACTCAATTCTCTTGCCTCTTCTAGCCCGTACTCTTTGACTTGTAGATATATCCTCTGTCTTCAGTAAGAGATAACATCCTTTACAAGCCCATCTTCTCTCCTGAATCAAAGTGCCTTTTGCTGCCGGTCCATATAATAAGTGTGACTGCATTTAGAATCCACTGAGATAATCTAGGACAAGCCTGTCCACCTAAAAAACCTTAACCTTTACTGCAAAGTCATTTTGAAATATAAGGTAACACTTAGTTTCTAGGAAATAGAATGTTGTTTTCTCTGGATCATCTTATCACCATGATAGCAAGATAAGAAACAGAAGGAGAGCAGAAGACACTAGACTGTTCTGCAAGATTTACTTTTAAATATTTATAAATGTTTGGTCAAGGAGAAACAAACTTGAAGCGGACACAAATATACAATGCAAAATTCCATTGTTATTTTAGGTGTTTTAAATGTATATCTACGTTTGAAAGGGCAGACAACAATAGAGAATCCTCTATGGTCTTCAAGTGGGAATAAAGGACAACGATGGAATGAGGCTCATGTTAATATATATCCAATCACTTCATTTCAGGTAAGAAATAACTTTGTTCATAGATTGCTGTGTATTGAATGCAACATTAAATACATACTATAAAGAAGCAATAAATACATTAATATTCAGAAATTCTGTATAAGAGAAATAAAAATCATGTATTTTAGTTCCTCTTGAGTTTGCAAATCTATTTTATGAAGACAAATGCACCTTTATTAGCATCCTTGAAGTAGCATATAGAAAAAAATCTATCAAAACAGGAGGTATTGCACATAGTAGTACATGCCTTTAATCCCAGAACTTGGGAGGCAGAGGCAGGTCGATCTCTGAGTTTGAAATTAGCCTGGTCTGCAAAGAGTGTTCTAGAACAACCAGTCCTACACAGAGAAACCCTGTCTCTGGAAAACAACAACAACAAAAGAAACCAAAAACTACTCAAGGTATTTGCACAGTAAACCATTTCCATAGACTCACTTGCATACATTTTATTCTCCACAGGAGATAATATAGATTTTCACAATAATAAAACCGGATATCATTCAAATGTTATCCAGCTCAGTCATTTATTACTTTAATCAAAATCAGAATTTTTAAGCAAATTATATTTCTTTCTGTAGATAGACTTCAGTTGAATACCAAAATGCCACCTATAAAGATATCAAAAATTTAATTATAAGGTTTTAATTGAAATAATAAACTTTAATAATCACTGTAAAAGAGTATATGTGTGAGATATTTTAATAAAGTTGGCAGCATGGTTTTTGTGATTTAAGTAACTATATCAACATGTGTGTGTGTGTGTGTATACCTACCTATGTTTTCATACATTTCTAGCCAACATATACCAAAGTATTTTTATTTCTTTAAAATAGTAAAAATATCTTTAAAATCTAATGACATTTCATATAGCCTATAGTTTTATTCTTTCTTTTGAAAGTACTCAAGCCCACTTACTGATATCATGCATCCATGTCATGGCATACATTTAAGGGTACAGAGAATCAGATCGATCCAATTATGCATTCTTTTCATTGATAGAATCTCTTTGCTCACAATTTGTAAAAATTTGATTGTTTGAAAGGTTGAACTTCTAAATTTAACTAAGTTGATAAAATAATTTTTTTTCACAAGAGTAGGGGTAAGGAATTAAATAAGACTGCTTGAAATCATATGTCTATGAATCCGACAGAATCATTTTGTATCTATGAAGGATAATACAGTTGTAAAAACTGAAATAATTTATCCTGTGAAAACAGGATTCAAAGTACAATTACTATTAAAGTGAGTGTGTGGGGGGCAGTGTGGACATTGAAGAATATTTTTCTAAAAATATTGATGTTCTCTATATATTTTGCTTTCTACATGGGTTACCTCTTCATCACAAATGATAAAATTAAACACATATACAATAAGGATTTAAATTTGGTAATGTATCAAGGCAATCCTTTATTGACATTATATCAATTTAATAAACATCTGTTAAGTACCTCCAGGACAATCTTTATTTCTTTAGATATTTGTTGAAAAAAAATGTGAGCTCTTACTTTGTCACATTGGCAAGCATGAAAATTTACTAAAATTCTTGTTGTAAAATATGCTGGAAGCTAACTGTACACAGGAAGGGGAGAGATCTCAGGATATACACACATATAAACAGAAACAGAACACTTTTCATGGCTGGAGGCTTAGAAGCAGACATTAAATGACTAAGAATTTTGGGCTTTCAAAGTGTTTGTAGATGGAAGTTACTCTCCCACCTGACTGTTCCTAAATATCCAGCAGCTGCTTCCCAAATACTTGACTCAGAAGCTTAATATTATTTATAAATGATTGACCAGTAGCTGAGGCTTGTTACTGACTACCTCTTACACTTAAATTAACTCATAATTCTTATCTATGTTTAGCCAGGTGGCTTGGTACCTTTTCTCTGTGCAGCATTCTCATCTTGCTTCCTATGTGTGTGACTGGCAGCTCCTTGACTCCGCCTTCCTTCTTCCCAGCATTCTCCAAATCTGGTCGCCCTATACTTCTTGCCTGGCTACCAGCCAATCAGCATTTTAGTAAACTAATTTGAGTGGCAAATCTTTGCAGTATACAAGAGCATTATCTCACAGCAAGTGTTGAATAATGCCTGAACTACAGATTTGTTTAGATTATAAAAAGGGGGGATGAGATCAGATTCAGGGACATATATGATCACTTCTGTCTTAAATTTGTTAATAAAAATGCCTGAGGAAAAACATTTTAAAGATGTGGGAGAAATTGTTGGATACACCAGTCTGAAGTTTTTAAGACACAGACTGTGTCATCAGATTATATCTCTTACTGTAAACAGCCTGAGTAGTTGATATTAGCAAAGAAAGTTTTACATATTGAAATGAGCAAATCAGTGATGCAACCATGCAAAACCATTCATTAAGAGGAACTATGACAGACATACTCATCCTAAGTAGTATCTTAGGGAAATTCTAATATTCATAGAATTAAATAAGAGAGAGAAAAAGAGAGACAAACTCAAATTAGAAAACAAGTAAATTACTGGTAGAATGTCCTTTCTTGTAACATAATTTGTAAAATTCTACTTTCATGAGAAATTCAACTTCTAAATCTCACCAAAAAAAAAAATACTTTTTTTGTAATTGATAGAAGATAATTGACAAACTTAGGTTTTAGTTAAGTCACAGATACACAAGTTATATTTTATACAAGACACGGTGTCTATTAGAGAATTCTTTTTCAATGTTCAGTTTCCTTTTTAATGACCCCTGTCTCCATGGGAGGGTGCATACAGGCAGCTAGGAGACAAGATGTGTTTACTTGAAGATCTTGTCTTGATTGACAGCTTTGCCTATATGCTAGAGGGCCCCCTTCCAGGAAAAGTACTCTCCAACCAGGGTCTGCATCTCCTCACTACCAGGATCCAGTATCCACCATGTATACGATGCATTGTCCACATGCCAATATGGACTCAGCAGAAAGACAGGCTTTGGCCTCAGAAGACCCAAATGCCAGAAATGGAGCTTCTGTTGTTGATTCCAAAATGGGCTACACTAGCAAAGGCATTCTTTCTCAGTTTGTCCAATTTCTAGAATATTTCAGCAATATGGTTGCAACTCATGAAGGCCTAGGTAAGCTCTTCAGTGAAGTGGCATACCCGCTCAGCATACCAACAGAGGTCAGCCATCTGTATCAAAATGCTCCCCCAGAATATACCAGCGCCACAGAGAGGGTGTCATCATTGGAGTACTTATGCTTAAACTCATCCAATGCGAAGGTATCCTTGGGCAGATGAGCTAATGGGCCCTTGGCCTTCGGCTCAGCTTCCAGTGCCTGCTCACATTCATCCATCTCCTCAGCAGTTGAGGCAGCTACCTCTTTTCTTCTTTCCACTCAGCCTGGGGCTTCTGTTTCTCTTCCCATGAACCCCTTTCTTTTCTTGGGGGTATCCGTTTAAGACTGGCTCTCTGAAAATGTCTTAGCATCAAACTGGACCATCTTCTCACACAGCTTCCCTTCCCCCAAGAGAGTCGTGAAATGGCTCTGGTTAAGTCAGGTAAGAAACCAGCCTTTGGTACTGGGAAAGGCCTGGGGAACAGAAGGTTCCAAACTATTTATAGAGCCACAGCAGGGTGCAACTGTGCTATCAGCCAGTGACACTAGCTGACCACCGTGGAAACTTCTGGTTTTCCAGAGAGCATCCAGCAGCCTTATCGAGACCCTTGTGCATTTGCATTTTCAGTGGTCTGATTTGTTGTGGTGCATGATGCCCAAAGTGGGGAACACTCAGGTGCTGACTGGAGAAATGATGTCACTGTCAGCAAAACTCAGGCACCACTAGAGCTGCTGCCTCCGGAGTACTTCCTGGCAACTCCTCCTTGCTTACATAATAGGTGAGATGCTATTGCTCTCAAACACACAGCATCCATTGTCATGCTCAAATGCTGGAATCTACCTGGCAGGAGAATTTCGAGAAATTCTGGGGTGCAGTAGCTTGGCCGAGGTGGAAGCGGGGTGGTGCAGAGAGTACACAGACCTGGTCCCCACTGTACTGAGCAGTGGAGGTCCTCCAGATTTCAGGATGATTATACAAGGTCCCAGCCGCCATGGGAATTGTGCAGAGAGGGGGATGAGAAATTTGCATGAAAGCACAAGGAAATAGGAATAAATAAATAAAAAATAAATAACTGTCTTAACTAAAACCCTTCAATATTCAGAGTTAATTGAATTGCCTGCAGGAAAATATTAAATTATAATGTGATTTATTCAAATAGACCCTTTCTTCTATCAGTTTTTCACATTAAGGGAAGCACAGAGTTTGCTTATTAGATAATGTTTTTGCAAGAAAAACCTAGTTCATTATCCAAGAGGCAGCAGGGAACTGTAGGTAGCAGGGGCCCTCGGAACATGAGTGTTGAGAGAATCTCACAGAAATGGAAGGCAGAGCACCAGGTCTGAGGTTGTGGGCTCCAGGAGTTGAGTCGCCTTTCCCTCCGATTTGGCCAGTCTCAGTCCACCGAACCCCGTTTCTCACAATTGTTGGCTGAAAGAAGGAAATTCGGGATCTTTTGTTATCAGAAACCAAAGGGGTGTTTTAAACTCAAAAAGATGTCCAGGTCCAAGGCCCATGAAAATGCGTTTCTGCAGCTGCTGAGATTTGCATAAAATTTACAGAAACATATATATATATATATATATATATATATATATATATATATATAGTATAAAGAGATATTCAAGACTGTTAAAATTAATCCAACTTTATTCCTAGTGGTCTATGTAAGCCTTGGAGAAATTCTCTCTGCTGAACTCAGCTCTACTTCTGATTTAGAAGGCAGTTTGGGTTTGCTTAGTTGGTTCTCAATGTACTTTCCATTCCCTGCCTACCTTGGACGTTTTCATAGATTTATAGCACCAGAAAATCCCTACTCTCATCTGCTATCAGTTTTGATTGGCCTGAAGGACTTCATTTGACATTTCTTGAAGTGTGGGTCTGTTGAGGATGGATTCTTTTCACCTTCTGTACTTTTAAAAAATTGTCT